CCCTTACAGAACCAGCTCTAGCCTCCCTGATCACTGAGCTTGTCACACAGCACGAAACCACTTTTAGTCTCAACTACGGGATCAACGCCTCATTGGCGTGTGTGACCCAGGGCTCCAGCAAGATCTACTTACCAAGGATTGTGCCCTCTCAACCCTGGCAGCTGTTGTGGCTCATAGTATGGGCTTTGAAGCAGCCCAGCGAGACCAGAGGTTCCAGATTGCTGAGTCTACACCCGCTGTGGTCCATGGTACCCATTCTCATGGAAGCTCTACATCGCCAACCTACCTGTTTCCCCACCCTTCAGAACTTCAGCAAGTCCATCCCTAGGAATAAGAAACCATCTCTTTCATGTAGTGGATGTGGCTCCACCTCCCATGGCCAAGGCACCCAGAAGTCTGCTTGTCCAGTTTGTGTGGAAAGGTGAACCATTTTGCTACAGTGCCATTCAGCATGTACCTTGTGGTGCATATGACTTAGGATGTTGATAAGCAAGCCTTTACACCAGCTATACCTTCAGCTCTGGCATCCCTCAATAATAGTGTGTCACTTAGAGCACCAAGAATTCCTTACCCACTCAAGAGTCTTGTCACGAAGTTTCTGCACACCCTGACATTGGTGCCCAGGTTATTGTTGCTGGCCCATCATTACTGGTTACCATGCGCCTTCCACGTAACTGCCTCCAACCAACCACACAGTGAATCCAAGCTGTTGGAGGTATACCCCTACATATCCTTGGTTACATCCCAAAAGTCACCACCATTCCTGATGATAGGGCACAGCGGTCCACACATGAGGACATTTATATCATGGTGCATGGTGTATCCACGATGTAAAGTTCTTGGTATTGTTCCAACCACTTTTCTCATTCCTGGCCTTCCAGCAACTGTGGCACCATCATTAATGGACTTATCACCTATATCTCCCTGCACACCAACCCCATCTCGACCTACAGCTATTACCTTTCCCCTCGTATAGTGGACCTAACAAACTTTAAATAATGTGTTACCGTGAGACCCACCATACACCAAGTCCATTCATTCTTGCACGGTCTGTCCCTGCTGGAACCCAGAAGACTGTCCTAGATGTTTGGAATGATTACCACGCTGTCCTCCTAGACTCAGAGAGCCGAGAGGCCACCACATTTATAATAGACTTTGGACGATACCGGTATGTTCGAGCAACCCAAGGCTACCTTGCAGCTGGTGATGCTTACACTCACTGATTTGATGAAATAATCTGTGATGTCCCACGGAAAGTCAAGTGCGTTGATGATACGCTCCTCTAGGATTACAATATTTTGGTTTCTGGCACACATTTGATCATCTTACCTACGTGCAAGCAATGGCATCATATTCATCACCGAGAAGCTTGTGTTTAGCAAAACTATGGATTTTGCCGGGCGACGATGACAGCGATGACGACAACGATGGCGATAGTAGCGATGACGACGACACCGATGACGATGACAACGATAACGATGACGGCAAAAACAGCGGCGACAACAGTGATGACAGTTATAACAAAATCAATAATAATAATAGTGATAATGATAATAATGGCAATGATAATGATAGTGTAATGATAACGACAGTGATGATGCTGATAGTGGGGGTAATGATGATTATAGTCATGATGATAAGTGATAATGATGATGATAATAATAACAATAATAGTAATGACAAAAGTAATAATTATTATGGTTATTATTATTATTATTATCATTATTATCATTATCATTGTCAGGAGAGGAAGGATTTAAAAGGCCTTGTTGGAGCAAAAGGGAGTCATGTCAGTAGCCAGGTGAGAGCAGACAGGATAATAGGGAAAGAAGGGGGGATGGTGCAGATGAAGAAAGGGAGGATGGGGTGTGTTGGGAGAGGGTGGAAGGAAGAGGGAACATGAGAGGGAGAAGGATGGATGTTGGTAGTTACTCTGAATGTAGAGGGAATGGGACTAGAGAGATTGGAGGGTGGATAAAATAGAAGAGCATTTTTTGTTGTGTCATGTTTAAGGAAGTCTTGGGTGTCCTCGTGTTTCTGGAAGGAAATTGGGTGGAGATGTCTGAAATAAAGGTTTTCTCATGAAAAGGAGATGAGTTACCGAAGGCAGAGGTAGAGGAATAGGAGAGAATGTGGGAGGAGAAGATAGGGTCATCAGTGTAATCCTTGCCTGGTCTTGTGTAAAGTGAGGCCTAGTTTAAATCTAGGAACTGCTATCTCAGGGCAGCTCCTATAAGATGCATTGTGGGAGCCACCAGCATTGGAACGCATGCGTGATTGTGTAGAGCAATTTGAAGGGTTATGACCAGGCTGGGTACATCGAGAGCAGTGGCCTTGTGGAGGGACAGAGATGAGGCCCAAGGTAAGGGTGATCCTCAACAGTGGACGTCAGCCCCCCCCCCCCCCCCCATCCCCTAACAATAGCAACAGGCATGGGATTCAGAGGGGGGGAGGGTACTTATTCCAAATATTATACCGTGTGAAAATGAAACTGTTATTT